GTTAACAAGCAAAACTGTAGATCGCAAGCTGAGCAAAAAAGTTGAAAGTTTTCCCAAAGAAAAAAATTTTTGTGTAATTTTCTCTTAAATAAAGTTATTGCTTGTCGGATTGGGGGAAAAAAACCAGTTTATTTCATTGAAATTATCGTGTAGAGAATTTAAAGTAAGGAATGCATCATATCGATATAGAATGGAATAGATCAGAAAATATATGTGTAGATAAATTATTAAAAAAAAAGAAATATTATAAATATATATATATGTATAATATTATAAAACATAAAGATAAAAAAATGAAAATTGAAAATGAAAATAAAATCATACCCTTTCTTTTAAATTTGTATAAAAAAACAAGAAAGAAAACTCTATTCAAGAGTGGTCGATTACCCGGTACTACCCTGAACCAAACTAAGAAAAAAACACACTTAATAAGGTTCAAAATTTCTATTTGAAAATATAAGTGAAATGAAAAACTAATTTAATTACATAGTGTAATCCTGTATATATAGTTCTCGTGTCGGAGTGTTTGTTGTCAAACTCCTCCGAAACGGTTCGACCGATTCTCAAGAAATTTTCTGTGCAGTTCTGGTAGATCTGAGAATCGGCCAGCATCTATTTTTCATGGCCCTAAGATTAAAGGGTGGGCCAAAAGTACAGAATGATTTGAATATCAGCTTGGTTGGTTCAGGTTCAGCACTTACTTGTTATAGATGAGCCGAGTTAACTAATTGAGGAATAAATGACCCAATATTAAATTTCATTTTTAACCTGAATAATTTGAGAATCTAGCTATCAACAGCAGCATTGTAGAGTTTCAATTATAGTTTTAGCAAACCTTCTGATATGCCATACACAAAGTTGAGTTAAGGTTCAAGGAGCATTATCTTCGACAAGAAACTCTACTTAAATTCAAATACAAATCGGCTGCTGTTACCGCCTCTTTGTAACCTGAGACCCATTGAGGCAGCTAGGGGCAACACCTCGAAAGAATTGAGGAGCGGGCTGTTGCAAGTAGAGGCCCAGTCGCAAGTCCCCATTAATATGTATGAGCCGAGTCAGGAGGCAATGCCAGAACTTGTTTATCAAACGTTTGGAGCGCTCGTCGCCCTCGAATGCTTCCATTAGCTTCCGTCACCTTCAATAGCGTTGGCTGACCCAATTAACAAGGCATTATAAAGTCGTAAAGCATAGCAGACGTGTGATGCCAGAAAATTAGCAAACTAGACAAGCCCCACAGCTGAAGGAGCTGGCGGTAGGTGGCAGTAGGCAGCGGTTCCCGTCCGCGTTCCCAATCCCGTGCGCCACATCGCATTAAATGTGCTTGCAAATGCGACTGAATTCATAAATCACAAATCACTTAGGCAAACACAGTTTGGGAACGTGGGGCGTGGAACTTAGCTGTGGATGTAAATGTCTATGGCTATTTGGCTTTTTGGCTGCCGGTTGGCGGTGCCGGCTGCCGGTTCCAGTTTGAATCTGAGTTTAAGTTGGAGTTTGGGTCTTGGGCTTTGGCTTGGCGGCATGGGCTTACAAATGTTCATGTTTGCGCGATAATATTGACAAATTGTGCAAACATTCGCACACAATTAATAAAGCCAGACCCACACGACCTGCGCCACCACGTCCCACGTCCCATGGCCCACGGCCCACGTGCGGGGCAGCGCGTGTTCGCCAAAGACAAAGCTACTGAGACCAGAGCATGTCACGACCGCGACTGAGAGACAACATAATTTCGATTCCAGGCGGCACTGAGCGTTGCCTACCTAAATACGAAAATCTAAGAAGCTAAAATGTCACTCTGCATAAAGTGTCAAAGCGACACAGTGGGTCGAATCACATGGGAAATGAAGTGAAATTAATTGATAAAGACTGAGACTGGTTCACAAAAAAAAAA